ATTAATTTCTTTCTATTTTTAGTAGAGACAGGGTCTCGATGTTGCTCAGGCTGGTTTCGAACTCCTGAGCTCAAACGATCTGCCTGCCCCGGCCTCCCAGAGAGCTAGGATTACAGGCGTGAGCCACCGCGCCCGGCCAAGGATAGTTCTTCATAATCCTGAGGAAGTGCAAGATGTCAGCTTTGTGTATGTCCCTCTTAGCAACTGTCATATGCTGTAATTATTTTATTTACAGTTATTTTGTTTTAATTTACTCTTCTGTCTGAGCCCCCTCAGGACAGGAGTCACTGTGTATTGGTCACTGCTTTATCTCCAAGTGCCTGGCACTTCTTAGTCATTCAACAAAAGGTTGTTGAATATGAATAAAGTTCTTTTCTGTCTATGAAGATTTGTTCCTTCTGATTAGCCATGAGGTTGGAAATCAACTGGATTTGTTAGAACTGAATGTGAAACTATGGGCTTGAGTAAAATAGATGAACTCAGGTACAAGGACCATGTAATCTCTTTGTACCGAGTTTTGGAAGCAGAGCACCTACATTGTTAAGGGAAGATGGGATGCCTGACCAGCCAACTTGTCAGCTAAACCTACCCTTGCCAATTGACAGAAAGGCCATTGTTGCTATTGCAGCTTGCCCTTACATCCACGAATACCACTTTTGACTGTCCACAGGCTTCACTTGCTGGATCTCAGCTTAAAGCTGGACAGGCAAGGTGTATTAACAGAAGGAAACAGTTCTTGCCCAGTAGTTTAATATTAGGTTTCTTGGTATAAATTAAACCTCTAATTTCTAAAAGTAACCTAATCATTTATAAATGATTCTACGGTTGCGGAAGAGCTTTACTAGAAGGCAAGGGAGAGCATTCACAAATGATGAATTACATTCATCCGGTATTTGCTTTCCAGCTCCCTGGAATGTGACTCCCATGGCAGGGCTCCAGCAAAGCTGAGAGGAGACTAGTTTTAAAGGGAAGGCGTGAGAGAGAGTGGGTGGGTGGCTGGGTGAGTGAGTGAGAGGGAAAAAAAAGGAAAGGAGCTTGGGAAATACTTCTGAGATGGGAGTGGGGAGAGATGGGTGGAGTCAGTGGGGTTTGTGAAGGCTGAGGGAGTTGAGAGCTGAGGAGGGATAAGAACGCATTGTGGCTTTCCGCATCACCGTAGTGAGAGGAGGCCTGGCAGCTGGAGGTCTTAGCAGCCCTTCTTTGCCATACTTACCCTCTTCTTTGGGTGTTTACATTCAGAGGAATTGCGGCAAGGTGGGCATGAGAGAAGAGTGAATGTGTGTGTGTGTGGCATGCACATGTGTACCATTTTTCCCTCTCTTTGCCCTCCTGTTTCTATCTAGCTAACACGGGATGGAGTGGTTAGGGCCAAGGTGAAACACACAGATGGCTCGGGAGTGGGATATTCTCGTAGGGATGTGTCATAGGCTGTTTGGGAGTAAGGAAGGAAAAAAGACTTCATTTAGAATTGCTTGTCCATAGGTTGGTCATACATTGGTCAGGTGCTGCTTATACTCTATTTAGAAGCATTTGTGATTATGGGCCGGAATAATGCAGGTATCTTGAGTTCAATACTGTAGTTCTTGTTGCTTCATTAGAAGTATTAATATATATTCTCTTCTTAGTCTACATTGTCTTCTGCATCTTTGCCTGTTTCCCTAGCTCCTGGTTACACATGACAGGCACTTGGTAAATGCTTTGAAACTAGGTTGTTAGAGTTGGATTTTCTTAGTAAGCTCTTCTATTGCCTGTCAACAAG